GGCAGGCGGGCGGGAACGGAAATGAAGTGGCGGTTGGGCATTCGCGGGCGGCGGCTGATTTTGGACCAGATGCATCTCGTGATGTATATTTGCATCGCGAGGTATTGCATTTTACATCACGAGGAGGCCGCGGTCCAAATTTTTTTGCATATGGACCGTCTGTTGGAGCAGCGTTTTTTGCCCCAGACGGTCCAAAAGTTAGTTATTTTTATATTTGGATCATCTATTGAAGATGCTCTTAGGACACATTAAGCTTTATATATACTAGATGATACCCCGCGCGTTGCTGCGGGACATTATCATGACCTAATGTAAAACTATAAAGTGAAATCATATATGTGATGATATATTATAAACAAATGAGACCGAGACAGTGATGTCGTACAATTGTGCTGATATAATAGACAATGCTACGACAGTTATTAATAAAATTTATTACATATACAGATGGATATAAGAAATTCTTTGGTTGCTGCAAGTGCTTGTAGATGAGCCTTTTCCTTGATAATAACTGGTCAATAACAAAAACCTAAGAAAGTATGCATGCTAGTAAAAATGCTATGTAGGTTGCAGTTGTGTATCTCTCTTGTCCGTTGGCTTGCACCTCAATACCGAACTGTAGATCAAATATAGCAATCTACAAATCAGCATGTGCAACTTTATGGTGATAACTAATAACATTTACTGTGACTACAACTATAGCATGAAGATCTTGTTATATCAGCTATGCTTGAGAGGCTGACAGAAAAGGAAGTGGATATAATGATGTTTGATGGTTCTTAGACCTTGTGAAGGGTGAAACTGAACCGATGAGAATAGCGGAAACCTTTGATTTGGATGTGAACATTTAAGCTATAGTTCAGGTGGAATCAATTTAGTGCTTACACTTGAGTTGATACTTAAAAGCACACAAAATCCCTAAGTTGTAAAGACAATGGGTAAGCATCATAGAAAAATATATACATTCACAACATCAATTTATTAAAAAGAATTTGGTATTAATATACTAATGTAAGATGAAGGTATCGTTGAAAACTACATCAATATAGGCAGACATATAATTTCACAAATCACCAAACCAAAAGACGTGTCATGCAAAAACA